ACCAAGAAGAGTGATCAAACATATAAAGATAAGTGCTCAAGGTGCAACCAGCTGACCAACAGTTATTCCAGTATTTGTGAGGGTGGATGTATAAATTTGAGTATAGGCCTGTCGTGATTACGAATCCAAAAAATTATTTTGATAACTGACAATATTGTTGTTTTGAGGCCATTTTTAAGTAATGTAATAATAATGGTACAACAAAAGGTTTGCCCTCTCAAAGATTAATAAACTTTAATTTTGTAAACATTTAACACTGGAACTGGAAGATATTTTCTGTATTTTTAAAAAATACAGAAAACAGAAATAAAAACCACACACAACCAAAACCAGAAATTAAGTAGATTGTAAAGTCTCTAAGCAAAATTTTTTGTTTTAAAAATAAAACATATTAAAAATCTTTTTTTAAATAGACTCCTTCTAGTTCATCTATTTAATTGTAATTTATTGAAACAGGTTTATTTGAATATATCCAAATTATACATACTTCTTAAGCATGCATGTGTAATTCGGTCTCTGCCTGGGTTTAAATAAAAAAATAAAATAAATTCAGAATTGTGTGGGAGGTTTTTTTTTTTTATCTCAAATACAAATAAGTTATTTTATCCTGGAAGGAATAAATGCTGTGCTGCTTTCTGACGTTAGAGGAGTCTGTCCCTCATTTACAGTCCATTTCTATAAAACCCACAATCTCCGTACTTACGATATCCTGCCGAAAGGGGCGAAGGCAGCTTTGACGTCTTCTGTTGTTATTTCTGGACTGAGGTCTCCGACGAAGACATGAAAGTGATCTGGAAGGGCAAAACGGTTGAGAGGTCGGTCCTTCTAACGTCCATACAGATCAAGTTTCTCCGCAGAACATAAATACTAGATAATCTGGTCACAACAAAACAAATGCTTTGTACTACTTACTACTTGTGTCTTTTTTCTGGCTGGATGGTGTTGTGGCCCAGTTAACTTTGACCTCCTGCAGACAGCAGAGAGCACAAGGCGGGGCGTGTTTAAATAAAATAAAATCAAAATAAATGACATTACATTAAAGGTGGACAAAAAACAATTTTATTTGAACACGCCTAGGAACTTTAAGAAGCTCTTTGCAGAATAAAATGTTAACCGTCTACTTAACAACTCGTATTACACCAAATTACATCAAAATCATTTCAGGATGGATCCAACCTGACAGGTTCGGATGCAGCACTCATCATTCAAACAAACAGAGCAGATTCACACGTTCTGCATGACGCATCTAGATTTCATTTCTCTTTTGGAAAGCCCACAGACCCGACTCCCCATCCCCACTCACCCTGTAGATACGATAGCTTACCTTACCCAATATTTTCCTTCCATTCATGGCCGCCAATGAGGCAGCAGCATGCCTGTGATCATAGAACTCCACAAAGCAGTACGGATCATTTCCAGCAGTCTGTCAATAGTAAAATAATACTAATCATAAGTTAACAGTTTAATTATGCGTGAAGCACACCACCAAACAGCTGCCTGGTGTGTCAGTGATGAGTTCATACTAGAGATGCACCAAGAAATCAGTCGCTGACAGAAAACTATCAATTTGACCCTGAATGGTGATCAACCCATCAGAACTTTTTTTTTAATCCTTATTGTTTTTACAAGCAGTAAATGCACCACACCAACGCTGCACTGATAACTCTACTCAGTGTAGAAGTTTTCACTGTGAGAGATTAATTATTTTCAGTGTCAGCAGCTGCGTTTTTTCCGTTAAACTTAAAATTGTAGCATTTGACGTTTGGAAAACGAATTTGCTTCACGGAAACGCGGCAATTCAAGACAAACTCACATTTCTCAATATAAAGTTTTGGTGTTAGAATGAGGTGGGTGGTGTTTTTTTGTTGTTGTTTGGTTGGGTTTTTTTACGTAAACTGTTTAAAGGAAACACTGAAATTGCGAAATTGTGGGTTTTTATATGACTTTAGGAGAATATCAACAAGGTTCAGCAAACATTTGGAATGGCAACCAAGCTGGTGATTTATTTGAATTGGAGGGAGATAGCAGCTGATAAAAGGAAACGGGAACGTGCTGCAACACAGGTGCTCCGTTTTATCAATTTGAAAGAAACAGTCCCGTTTGTCACGAAACAAATAGCATTCGGGATCTTGGCAGTGTTTTGGAAACCTCACGACTGAGCGTCCACCAGCTCTATAGGAAACACACACTGAGAATTAAGCTTACAGTCAGCGAGGCTAACCACGGCTATAAGAAATTAAATGGAGAGCTGTGTGACACCAGCACACATCGGGTGATTGTTGCCTCTGCTCCACATACCGGTAATGACTCATTGCTGAAATCAGTAATAGTTGAAGTTTATGTGTGTGATAGCCTGAACGGTTTTCCTGTATTTTGATACGCAGAGTCAGTTTTGTACTTGTATAAAAGAATGATTTATTTCCTAATAAGCATTGTGTAATTGTTAAGTCTTAACTTAAATCGGCCTCAGGTGCACCTCTAGTATTTGATGTTTTATGGGCATCATGTGAGCAACACTTTGGACAGGAGATCTCAACACACGGGAGGGGGGGGAAAAGTCACTTACATCATTGATCATTTTACAGCTCTTACAAGGTCCTATCTGTTGGAAGACCTGTAGAATGAGGGGCTCGGTGACATCCCTGGACAGATTTCCTACGTACCTACAAGCAAAAACAGAGAGATGGGCGAACTGAGTCCCTGTCAAACAGGAAGTGGCACGCAAACAAAGGCTAGTTCGCCGGGGTAGCCACAGACACGGCAATTTCTGATACATAAAAAAAAGAACAGTAACAAAAAAAAATGGAGCGATATTAAACTGAACATTAGTCGATGTTTCCGCAAGAGACTGGTGAAACGGTCACCCCGGCAGTCGGGGGTGTCCGGTGCGGTCTGTGAGCGCGTTGACGTGGCTCGTCTGCCAGCTAGCTAGGCTAAAGATCTGGCTAACCGGTTCCAACAGGCCTCGGGTTAAGTTGAGGCTCAAACTACACTTTCTAAAATCTCCGTACAGTCCACACACGTCTTATATGCCCTCTCCAGGCACCACGGTGGATGTAAACATTGATATGTTTTAAATAACTAAAATTAAACGATGTCCCATCTCCAGCTAATCGCAGCAGTACCTAGCTAGCGACTCAGTTTCGATTTAAAGTGAGTTGCCGCTCCGTTTATTTACACTTGAAAATGAAATCTTAATTGTGTGCGCCGAAAAACTGTAGTTTGCGACATTTTGTATGGCATGCCTGATGTGAGATAATACACAAAGTAAAAGAAGATATTGCCAGTCGAATGACAAAGGTTTACAGCTTCCTAATTGTAACAACGTGGAAACATTTTGCAGTAACTAGACGAAGCCTGAGCATTCCAGGACATAGACAAGGCCACAGTTACTCACAGGGTTCTGGGTTGTTCGTCGTCCATCGTCGGGGTTCAGTGGTCGAGTCCTCGGAGGGGGCTTTATTCCAATGACATACAACAGGTCTGGACCGAACCCGAGAGACCAGGAGCACCGGGGCTATACCTTCCGTTCGATGAGAAATCCGTCTCCGACTCAGATCTCCCACACGCAGCATACAGCCCCCTCTCGGTTTGAGGCAAACAATAGGAAGTTGAAGATGGCGGAGAAACGGCGTCAGCGGCGTCAGCCCGGCAGCGCGCTGAAATGAAGCTAAAATCAAACGCTCCTTCACTTACACAAAGATGCGCCTTCCCTCCTCATCTGTTCTGCGGGCACTGTAATTTATCACCCTTTTACCACTCACATTAATTGTTTCCCATGATTTACGGTGATTTATTTTTCATATGTACATACAAAAAAGGCGCTTTCAAGTCACGGTTGTTGGATTTGTGTGTCCTATGCATATTTTTCAAAATGAATGGTTTCCTGCAACACAGCAAAACCAGGATTCTAACTAAAACAAAAATTAAAAAAAAAAAAGAAAGAAAGAAAAACACGTGCGCCGCCCGGGAATCGAACCCGGGTCGCAAGAATGGGAATCTTGCATGATACCACTACACCAGCGGCGCCGTCTGCTCCATCTTCGCCACAGAGAGTATCCATCCTCAACATCCGGATCACTGTTCAATTTCATTATATAGTTGATACATTACAACTTTTTTAATTTTAACAAAAATTTTGGAAAAATATTCATCTAGTACAGTTATTAAAATAACCCAATAGCTGTCCGCATTGTTCTTGATTGATCAACTTGTTTTCGTGTGTATAGAGGGCATGTTTGCCAGGATTATTATGGAGAGTCCTGTAATTTTAGGAACTCTATCAATTGTAATTGATAACAGAACATTATTATATGATAACGTATATGAGTTAAGATCATGTCTATCTTTGCAGAAGAAATATAATCAACCTTGCTCCATGATAATACCACTGAAACCAGTGCAGTGTTTGCAGTGTGCATGTATTTCCCCCCACACACAATGCTTTGCATGATAGGCCAAAACATGTGGTTTCATCTAATCTTAGAATATTCTTCCACATGTTTGCTGTAGTACTTTTATGGAAAACCTTCAATGGTTTCTTTCTGAAAGGCTAAATTACAGGGTGCATGGCTGATTGTTATTCTGTCAGATAAAAATATATTTTGTGTAGGTTACATTGTAAACGGGTTATGAACAACTTGGACAAGTAATCTTTCTGAAATTCAAAATTAAGTAGTTGCTTTAGGAGATGGATTGATATCCTGAGTCGATGCATATATCATTATAAACAAACCTCGACTGCGTCCTTTTAGCAGTGAGAAAAGTCCATTCACTGAGATGAAAACATGAAAAAATTTTATGTTAGAAAACAGAAATTTGAAAACAAATGTGCAAATAATTGCACATATGTTTTGCGAAATAATTACTATTTCCCGAAAAGCAATTATTCGTTGTGGTGACTTTTTTTTTTTTCTGTCCAGCAGATGGCGGTAACGCGCCTTCCGGTCAGTTTGTCAGGTGCACCTCGCCCCATGCAGGGTGGGGAAATAAAAGTCAAGAAGAAGAAAGGGGCTTGGGAATAGAAAGCACGCGAAGAAGAGCCAGGCGTTGGAGTTGTAAACATGGCTTCTTCCATCGGCTGTCAGCATTATGTACGCAGTTGCCTCTTGAAAGTGAGTACATTTTAGAGAAAAAATATTTCTGTTACGCGGAGCAAGAGAGAAATCTCTCGAGTGGAAACTTGGTTGTCTAGTTATTTTCTGTTCGGACATCTCAGCGCTCTCCTGTCAGTCATTCCAACGTTGCTGGACTGTAACAGTGTTATTACATAACGTTTTAGTGACGTTATCAGTTATTAAATTGTTTACGATGCCATAAAGTTTCACTGCAAGCAAAGACCTTTAAAGAAGTCATTCATTGTCTCATAAGCATACTGGTGCTAACACAGCTACATTAGCTTAGCAGCCATGTGTGCCTCTCCTGTTTTTTTACCCAGCTTTACCATTGGATTGTATTTATTTTTGGACACTTTGTTTCAAACAGCTAGCTTGCACCCAGATGCATTATACAAGTAAATATGACGTAGTAACTAGAATAGATTAACTGTACAAAATCAGTAAACAAGCTGTCAAAATGTGTGTATCCAACTCAATCAGAGCAGATAAATTGCTTTAAGGAAGTTGTGTTTTCTGAAGATTTGTTAAGTTCATTTCCCTCTTCCTGGGTATATTTCAGACTGTTCTGGAAATTCATATGTTTCAGTCTGTACTTTGATACTTGTAAACATTGTTGGTTGATAAGACCTGCGAGATGCAGTATTACCATCCACGAGGACTCTTTTAAACTGATAACATTTTCATGTTCAATTCTAAAATAAAGAAAATACAAGGAGGCTAAAATGGCCATGCTGTTTCGTTGTGGTAACAAGGTGAGTGGGAGAAATTTAAAGCTGAGACGGATCCAGTCCAAATGAACACATTTATTCTAAATCTATGGAATTTGATCTGAGTACTTTCATTCATTCATCCATTCATTGATCCATCCATCAGTTTTCCCAACCATCCTTACATTATCTGTTTTTAGAAGTTCCATATCGTCATCTGCCTAAAATAATCGCGTAAGTCATTTTTTGCCAAAAGTTGTTTTCTTTTTGCCTTTTTTTTTGTCAGGAAAGATGCGGTGAATTTTTTTTGTTTTTTGCAAAAATCACTTTTACAAAAAAGAAAAATAAAAGACATTATTTTAGGACAGTGATGATGTTAAAGCCCGATATCACAAACTGCTTTTCTACAAAGATAGACTGTAGAAATTTTTATATTTATGCTTAAAATTGGATAATAGAACTGATAACTCTGGAAATTTAAGAGTGGGAAATTTCATAAAATTTGACCTGAATATTGTTGGAATCCTCTCCATAGACTTATTTGAGTCATAAATAACTCTAGCAAAAGCAAGGTTTTTGACTAATGGACAGAAGAAACAACCGAAAAGACCAACATTAATATTTTAGCCACTCAAGACATCCACAATTGAAAATTCTTCTTGTTTTCCATTCAAGACGGTATGTCTTTAACTGAACTTAATCAGAGCTTTTAGCTCGTACGGGCAAATCAGCCGGCAAATCCTTAGTGTAGTAACAGGTTGATGTGTCTCCGTTCCGCAGGCTCCATGCTGTGGGAAACTCTACGTGTGTCGGCTCTGCCACGATGCAGAGGAGAACCACCAGATGGACCGCTTCAAAGTCCGGGAGGTTCTGTGTTCGGAGTGTGAAACCCTGCAGAAGGTAACAGGGATAATTAAAAAAACAAGTTAAAAAGATGAGGCGCAGGCATGGCTGTGGCAAAGTGTTTCAGCTGTGAGGCTAGGAAGGAAGTTGAGAGTTTCTAATAATAATGATGATGAGATGTTTAGTTGCTTTTGATGTTATGTTTTTGACAGCAATTATCTCGACAAAAGCAAAACAGTTCCCTCGAAATAAAAGTAGTCCATATGTACATTGGGCTTGTCAGAGGTTTATTATCACTTATTATCAGTATGAATGCTATTATATTTTTCTTTTAATGATGAATTCAATCTAAGTCGATTCCAGGTTTGGGAAATAGTACAGCCATCATGGAGGATCACAGCAGGGCTAAGAAAGAAAAAACATAATCATGAGAATCAAGTTATACTTTTGCAAAACGAAGTCCTGATGATAAGACAGTGAAGTCGTATGACAATGAGGTTGAAAATACGAGAATAAACTTGTAAAAAAGTAGTAGTAATACAAGAAAAAAAAGCAGTGTGGGGGGGAAAAAGTTGTAACACTATGAGAATAAAGTCAGAACGGTACCAGAGTAAAGTAGTAATGTCAGGAGAATGAATGCATAATTTTTTAAAACTCCTACACAAAAAACAACAAACAAAATAAAATGTGGAAATCTTGTGAAGTTATACTTTGGTATCGGTTTTACAAATGGGACATACTAAATCTTTTAATCAGCAACAAATTGTTATTATCAGTAGCAGGACTTTAAAATGATCGAAACGGGGGTGGGGGGGAACAAAAAACAGACAACTTTACAGAACTTTAAAGCATTTGGCCGAACTGGTAGTGGAACAAAACAAACAAAAAAAAAAAAAACAGGTGGGAAGGATCTTGAAATTGGTTGAGGCCTTTTTTGAATTCCACCCCAGAAGCAACACAGGAGGGCAAAGAGACTGCTCTTTTACTTAAACATGCAGCGGTTTTACTTTAAGTCAGACGTCTTCATACACCGATTTGTTTCCTGTGACTCAAGGAAATAGATTTGTATCACAATTAGCTCAAGTCATAACATAAAAGGGGGGGAAAAAAGGTAATATGTTGGTTTCTGCTCCTCCAGGCTCAGAAGAACTGTCAGCAGTGTCATGTGCAGTTTGGGGAGTATTACTGTGATATCTGTCACCTCTTTGACAAGGACAAGAAGCAGTACCACTGTCAGCCTTGTGGGATATGCAGGTGAGTCTTTGTGGAAACAGGCAGGAACTCTGATGGATTTGGAAACACTCAACAGAAATACAGAATCACTATAATCTTAATGGATTTGTGACAAACAGGACACTTACATTTATTGCGAGATCATAATCCCACCATATTGTGGTATTATTGTAACACTTTAGCTATTTTTCTTTCCACATGATAGGTTACGGAGGTAAAAAGATACAGTAAAATCTGTCAAAAACATTCAACTTAAAGTTGTGATGCAGGCGCTTCAGAAACTCCGGACTTTCAGAGACAAACACTTTGTCTTTTTTCTTTTGCAGGATTGGGCCCAAAGAGAAATACTTTCACTGTCAGAAGTGCAATTTGTGCTTAGCCCAGGACCTGCAAGGAAATCACAAGGTGATTGTTATGAATCTGCAGCTTCGCATTTCCTCCCCTGGTTGCTTTGATTTACGGCTTATCCTCCTCATTTCAGTGTGTCGAGAACGTATCAAGGCAGAACTGCCCAGTGTGTATGGAGGTAATCACACACACTCACCCGTCTAGTTTAATGTATATTTTTGTTTACATTATTTTATTTATTTATTTTTAGATTCACTCTTTGCATCTGAAATATTTTATTTGATTGATCAGGATATTCACACATCCCGGATTGGTGCTCACGTTCTTCCTTGCGGCCATCTTTTACACAAGTAAGCCTGGCTTTTAGCGCGCGTTTCGCCAGCCCTCCTTTTATCAGAGCGAGCAGAGAATGCGTCACTACAATGGAAACATCTGTATTGCTGTTTATGTTCACATTCTGTGATTGCGAATCTGTCATGATCTGTCATTTGGCTTTTGGCTTTTTTCACAGGACCTGCTTTGATGCCATGCTCAGTAAACGGTGAGTGGAATGAATCCTTTTTGTTTTTGGTGACATTAGTTAGATGAAATGAAATGCTCTTAAGTTACTGCTGTCTACATTCAGCTGTTAATTTAATATCATCAGCAGTTTTTTTTATTATTCTGGATAATCAGGGAGCAATTTTTCCCCTTCACTTCTGTCTAAAGTTAAACTGACAAACATTGTTGTCTGTTTTGGCTTCAGTAAAATATCAGACCTGTGAGTGTGTACGTACAGATCTACTGAAGTGTTACAGTGTGCTGAATGCCTGTGTGTGTGTGTGTGTTTGTTTCAGCACGTACCGCTGTCCTCTCTGCATGCATTCCGCCTTGAACATGGACGAACACTGGGAAATGATGGACAAAGAGATCGCTCAGACACCAATGCCCGCTGAGTACAAGGATGCCAGAGTCAAAGTAAGACCTCACTAACTGCATTCAAAGAAGTTTTAGAAAAATGTATCAATCACGACAGAAAATTATATTTGTTGTCCGGTCTGCCATCTCACAAAGAAACACCGTGAAATGGTGCTCTCTAACAAGACTCTTTCAAATTTTCCCCGCGTCCGGATAAGTGTTGGACAAGGTGTCTGCCCACCCTCAAGACATCTTAAATTCATAAATTAAAGCCTTAATTTAATTAAAGTCAAAAATTCATTTTTTGAAAAGTAAGTCGGTCTCTAAATACATTCATCAAAGGACTGGCTAATCTACTTTATTCTCTTGCGAGACTTTTCTGTCAGGCAAAAGTTTGAGACATATTTATTGTGTTCTATTACTCAAGGAGGTTGAAGCTACCGGTAACTAGCTGCTAATATACCCATAGCTAGCCAAGTAGCTATTATGTGTAAGTCCAAATTCATCACCACTTGGCTGTGTGATGTTTGTATGTAAGATGTAGGTCTTAAATTTGTCTTTGAAAGATCTTCAAAAGTCTTAAATCTGAATTGGCATTTAAACTTCCAAGCTTCCATCTCACAGAGCAGCCCTCCGCCGTGAGTCACCCACTCAGCTACTTCAGACTAGCCAGCAGCAATTAGCAAACACCTGGTGGAACTGAGCATCAGCTGATCTCATTATATGAGCTCCTGCTCAGTGAAACGCTGGTAAAAACTTTGTTAAAGGGTGAATAGAGAAACCATGTTGAGATGACTTCCTGAAGGCACAGTTCCAGAAAGAGACAGAGGCCCAATCTCAAGGTGTTAAATTACAAAGTCAAATTTCTCATGTTTGATATATATATGGCATTTTCATAACAAGTGAAGGTAACATAGTTATTTAATTGTTCTATAAAACAACCAGTATGTGCCTCTAAACGACCTAATACTGCCCCTTTAATAGTCATAACATGACAAAATTGGGTCGAATTCTAAGTGTCTCAAAAACAGACAGATATGAAAGTGGTTTAACCCCGGTCCTTTTTTTTCCTCCAGGTTATTTGTAACGACTGCCAGGCCCACTGCACCGTGCCTTTCCATGTGTTGGGGATGAAATGCGCTGAATGTGGCTCCTACAACACAGCGCAGGATGGAGGACTCATGCAGCAGCAGCATCAGGAGCCGCAGCAGCAGCAGCAAGAGGAGCCGCAGCAGCAGCAGCAGCAAGAGGAGCAGCAGCAGCATCCGGAGCCGCAGCAGCAGCAAGAGGAGCAGCAGCAGCAGCAGCAGCATCCGGAGCCGCAGCCCTCAGACCTGCACACAGAGAACGAGCCGGAGCCGCAGATGCCACATTAAAACCCAGGAGTCAGTGACTTTCCCACATTTGACATTTGATCAATGAACTTTATATTAATATAAAAACAAGTGAACCCATTCATTTCCCTCAACAAGAAAGGTGAAGGAGGAGTTGTGGAATCTCTCATTGACACTGACAGACGGTTTGCAGTCACAGACCTGAATGCTTTTAAACTGTAGTAAACTGGGGCTTAACACAGCTGCCTGAAAACAGTTGATTTTGTGCCATATCCCCTGGTTAAAAATTAAAAAAAAACAGACCTGTAATTTGTATAGTGCATGTCATGTGAAATTTTTCAGAAGATCTGGAGTTTTGGAAAATGCCTAATAAAAACAGAAATGGGTATGCAGCACGTTGTTGCTTTATCATAGGGGCTCATTAAAAATATATTTGCTGTTTTCATCTTTTTGTTCTTGCAGGCATTATTAAAAAGCTTGGCTTAAAGCGTCGTTAATTCTGTCTAAAAATGCATTTTTATGAAGATAAAACTCATCTTTGAAAAAAAAAGTAATCTCGACAAGTAGCTTCATTTTGTTATTGTCTTTTAGTGGGTTGTATGAAGTACACATGAGAAGTCATTATCTTACCAGGAAACAGTGATCAGGTCACTGTGTTTACCAAAACACTCAGTCGGTGTGTGACTGTCATAGTGCGATGATCTTGAATAAAATTGTTAGACTTTTTGTTTATTGACACAGAAATGTGCGACAGTACCCAACAGCTTTTATTCACAGGAAAGAAGAACAAAATTACATAGGAGCCGTTTTGCAGCCGGCTGGTCAGCAGTGTGCAGCAACAGGTGAGGGAGATGGGGAAAACATTTGTTACTACAAAACAACATATGGCATTAAATGGTTTTTAAATCCCAAGCAGAAAGTGAAAAATGAATGCAATTCAAACCAGGGCAATGTTGAAACCTGAGTTCTGAAAGCAACTCTGACCAAATGCCTCATGATGTGAATAATTATATGTCTAAAAATATTAAACAAATTGGCCAGGAGTCTCATTTCCACATGTTGAACACCCCCCACAAAAAATACAGTCTAAAGGAATACTTTAGATAGTGACCATCAACCATTCAGCATTTATTTAGTAGTTATTGTGTCTATTCGTAATTGTCTAAGTAAGAAAATATGGGCACAAAGTGTAAAAAACAATTCAGATTTTCTTCCATGTTTTCAGAAATATTTGAGAATTCTTTGGCTTTCCAGTGAGAACTCGTTTTTCAACACAACCCCGCTGAAATCCTTTAAACCCGTGCTGGACTTCAAGGTTATTCGTGTTAATGAATGGGGAATCAGTTCTGGTCTCGATGTGCTAATGGATTGTTCATAAATTCCCACTGGTTAAATCAGACACAACATTCATAAACAAGGATGCGATACCTCATAGGGGTATCATTTATTGTATCATTTATCAGTTATCGCGGTAAGATTCTTGATTTTTCTCCTAAAACTAAAATCGATCAATTTTATTATGCGTCTGATGCCCTGAAGCCCAACAGAGGAGTCTGTTTTTCAAGCGACCTATTTATGTTGGTGGGATTATGTCATTCCTTCAAATGAAATAATAAATATTTCCTAATGTCGCCTTCATTGTTATCGCGGTAATACTGCAAAAAATATCGTGATAACACTTCAAGTGCACGTGGCCTCATTCTTCATATGCTGTCTCCTCTAGGTGGCGCCGGCTCAGCTGTGACGGGCCGGACAGTGAAACAATCCAAACTGGCAGCAGGGGTGTCTGCGGGGATGGTGGAGGGCGTGTCCGTGGAAACCGACAGAGGTGTGGGTGTGAAAGAAGCGCGTGGGTTGGCTCCCCGCTGGAGGCCCTCGTGCGCTTCGGCGCCTTTTGGGTTTGTCGTGATTATCGCCATGCCAGCGTCCGGAGCTGCGCCGAGAGCGCTGTCTGTGTGGAGAGCAGTCTGACCCTGCATAGGGTCTATGTCTGTGGAGGTCTGTGGGTCCTCGGGCGCCGCCGGTGCTCCCGAGTCGGTGGTGGACGGAGAAAGACTGGAGTCCAGCGGCTCCGCCTGCAGGCCTGGGTCTGTTAGCGCCGGTTGTGAGGGTCCGAGCTGGACGTCGGTCTCCTCCGACGACATCGACTCACTGGACTCTGATGATTTTGAGGAATTGTCTTCCACATGTAGGCAAACCTGTAAAAAAAAAAAAAAAAAAAAAAAAAAAAAAAAGGAGGGGGAGGGTTGTGTGTGTGGGGGGTGGGGGGGCCGGAGGTGATGCTGTGAATAATTATATGTCCTTGAGCTTCTAAAAATATTAAACAAATTAATATAAATAATGTATATTTATATTAATTTGTAATGTTATTAATATGATAACATAAGACCATTAAAGCTGCAGTATGTAACTTTTATTTTAAAAAACACACAAAAAAACCCAATATATATAATGTCATATAGTGTCGTAAAAAAAAACCTTGACACTCCTTAACCTTCTGCCAGTGCTCCTGATGCTGCCTAGAAACAACCAATCAGAGGCAGAAGGCGGGTCTTCGTGCTGCCAATCACCCTGCTCCTGTCTTGTGCTCCGTGTTCATAAATGCTGGGCTAGTTAGCATAGCCATCAATGAGACTGAACTGTTTTCCTGTAACTGTAAGTTATTTCTCAACCATTTGCAGATACACAAGATTGATTGACAGCACTAAGACCCTCGGCATGGCTCCGATTGATTGTTTTTGACCAGTAGCAGTGTATTTTTGCAGACTTTTATAGCATATGTAGGAGCTTGATTTATTTTTGATTTTTTTTTTTTTTTTTTTTTTTAGATTACCTGCATCATACTGCACTGCCACGACAAGGTGACGGTTTGAATAAATATGGTGGAGAAAAAACTTTTTGGTTTTTAAATATAAAAGTTACATACTGCACCTTTAAGTAGTAAAAAGAAGTCAGAGAAGTGGAGCTACTCACCGGTTTAGCTGTCACCAACGTCACCATAAGGGCTGCCCAAAATGTGGCCCCTGTAACTTTCATTGTCCCCTCTGCTATATTTGAAGAACAGGTAGAATGTAAGTGGGTGGATGCAGGTCATCAGTTTACAGCTCATCAACTACATTCATCTCATTTTATTTCCAGGCTCTTGACAGATTTGAACCGTTCACATTTCAGGATGAAGAGGTTCCCAACATATAGACTGTTTGTTCACAAGCTTCCAGCTTTTAACAGGTTCAAAATGTTGATGGGTTTTTGGGATGTTCTTGAACATTCTGACTAATTTCCTTTCATTTGGTTTCAACTTGTACACAAAACTGGTTTTGGAATTCTTCAGCCATATTTGTTTACCTGGGAAAAAAGAACTATTTGAGCAAATCATTCAAATCCCTCAAAGTAAAGTCCGACGAGGAATGCATATCTCCTGATACACGTTGCACCGTGTCATACTAAAGGTAATCCTCTTTTCAGGCTTACCTCAGCAGTACCTCCAAGATGATGTGTGCCTCTTCTAAGTCCAGAATGAACGAAATATTTGAGATGGGCCTGTTTTTATACAGCTGTTTACATGTGTGGGGGCTACGCAGGAGCGATCCATCATCTGGGGGGAGAAAAAAAGCCCTTATTGTAGATAAACTCTCAAACTACAAAAGCTGAATCATTTAACACCTACACATGAGCTGAAATTAAAGCATTTAAAATTCTTACTGGAAAATGAGAGAATGAGCGCACCAGAAGTGGCCTCACAGCCAAAGTAAACACGATTTGTGGTTTTTGTGTAAACAATAGGAAGAATTTGGTCCAGACTTTAAATAACATCTAGATTCTGGGCTGAACAATACACTGGGGTGCCATGGAGATGATGTTTGCAACAAAAATACATGCACAGCGTTCAAACAACCTCTCTGTGGAACACACAAAGCTTCCCAAGAAGCAGTTTCATCTGACTAACCATCAGAATCTGCTACCATCATAACTTCAGCTTTCCTCCAGTAGAGTTGGAGGATGTTGTGCTTAAATTTTAAAAGCCGTTAGCTTCTGAGTCTTCAGATGGCGAGTACCTTGTACCCACTACTAGGTACACCTTGAACCACCTTTTATGGCATTCATTTAGGGCAAACGTAGGTCCACACTGACATGCAGTTCCTGCTCAATGTTCATGATTTGGTAGAGTGCTGGCTTTGAAAGCTAGTTGGATATGTTCCAAGCTTTATGACATGGATCTTTTCCTTACTGTAGCCAAGAAGACTGAAACTTTGCCAAAGGGATAAACAATGTTATTTAAGCAGGGTGTGGCATAAGGGGGCCAAAAAAAAAAAAACCTTACCCTGTGAAGTATGCTTATGCAGAATTGTCAGACCAAATTATCTTCCAGTTATCAAATCTGGCTTTGCTTCCTTTTAGCTGACAGCTTTCAGTGTGACTGTCTGCTCCTCAGGTTCAAGGTTTGACAAGAGCAGTTTCAGCTTGTAAAATGTCAGCAAGTACTGCACCCCAGTTCTCTGTGTTTTTGAAGTAAACAGTAGATGTGAAGCTTTGGTTCACTTGAAATTAAAGTGAAATCTTAGGCAGGTTGGTGCTGTGTTTGACTGCAGAGATTCTAGCCCTCGTTCCACATTTCAGAGCTTCTTAGGTCACAGAAGTCACTTGTGGGGTTCTCCACATGTGTTTAAGGACTTTAGAACAGCAACACTTTAGTATGACAATTTACCTTTTCACAAATTGAAATTCATATTTTAAGTAACCAAAGCCCTTGGAAAACCCTCATAATTTACCGAGTTGCCAATTGCACCACATCCTCGTGCACAGCTGAGCAGCAGAGACATTGCCAAATAATTGGGTGTCTATTTTTACATTTTTTTTTTGCACAAAGTGTTTTAAATATCAAAGACACCTCAAGCCAACTGAAAATGCAAACTCTTTATTAAAAAAAAAAATTGTTATGAATTAATCCACAGAAGATCCCGGTTCCTGCAAGAGATAACAGGACATTAGATCAGCTAAAAATAGGCATAAACAGATTCCATGTTCATCATGTCACCTCTTGCTTCTCTGAAGTTGCCTGAGCATTCTGTGCACAAGTTGTGGTTTCCACTTTTTTCTCCAGTTCAGACATGCTGGTTTCCACTGTTGCATCTGGTCTCCTTCCTCTGAATCAAGAGGGATACCATTAAATTGGTGGCACCAAGAATATGTACACTTTAAATTTAGAATAAGTGTAGAAACCTTGAGCCAGCATTCTTTCTGAGGATCACCACTATCACAGTAATGACCACTATGCCACAGAGACCTGCAGCACCATAGATGATGTGGCCCTGAATGCCTTTTGCTGCAGTGTCTTGACAAGATGCCCCACTGTAGCCCTTTGAACATTTGCATGTAGTGACCTCGTCAATTTTCACACAGCGCCCATTCCCACTGCAACGACTCTTGCTGCACTCTGCCGCCTCAAGGTTTGGGTCCCCACCGGTTTTCTGTATGGCATTGCCCAAGTTCATCTTTGGGGATGGAATGTGAGGATTCGGCATAGTCTGATTTGGAGTAGAGACCTTTGTTTCTGACTTTTGCTCGGCATCAGCACCTTAACGAAAACCAGTTTAGTGGAATTTGAAGCCAGCTGTACAGCTTACCCATTTTAAAGGTTACATACAGTTTTTGTCCGAGTGATCGGCGCAGGCAGCTTGCTCGTCGCAGGATTTTTCTTCTGGCAGGCAGGTTTGGTCCAGACATTT